CATTTGTGGATGTGAATTGTTAAGGAAGAATTTCCAAGTTTTTCCAATATTTGCAAATAAATTATATAAACAAATAGAAAACATTCCAGTTAAGAATTATTTATGAAGACGAATAATGATATTATTAGCATTTATAATGTTACATGTAATGTCACATAATATATGTAAAATATTATATATAATTTTTTTTTCTTAAAAATAAAGCATATGTTATTTAAAACCTTAAAATAATAAAAAAATGAAATATTCAATTTTAATAAAAATTTTAATAAAAAAAAAAAGAATTATTTCTATTAAATTAAAGTTTTTAATTTCCAATATTAAAAATTGAAATTTAATTATTTTTCTTATCTGTTCGCATCATAAATGATCGTTTTATTTTCTTGAAAAAAGCATTGAAAATAATAAATAATAATAAAAAAATTATTAATATATTCGTTTATTGTGTAATCGATGAACAAGCACTTATTCTAATTTCACATATCATTATTGTAATTAAATTTAATTAAAGCTATCATGTTTAAAAAAAAACATTTAAAATATTATTACGAAATAAACACTGAATCTATTAATCATATTGCGTAATTACAATGATAATATAATAAAGAAATAAAATTGAATTGGTAAAGGAGATATAAAAAAGGGAAACAAAATATGTATTCGCATATTTACATTTTTCTTCTTTTTTCTCGAGAATTTGTTAAAAAGGATAGTTCGTTTTTAAATAATTATATTTCGAAAATTTTTATAAGTTCAAAACAAATTCACAAGAATTATATAGCAAATCATAAATTATGTCAAAATCTTTTTTATTCATTTATATTTTCTGGATTTAATATAGTTTTTCATTTTCATAAAAATTAATAAAAATTTGTAATATTTATAAATAATTTAATTATTATAGTTTCCATTATAATTTTACAAAATCTTAAATTTGCACGAAAGTTGTTGGATTATCTTTTAATTGTTACAGTGTGTTCAAAAACTATTATATTTCCAAAGTTCTATATTTTTGAAGAAATTATATATAATCTATCACAAAAATCTTAAACATCTTTCGTAATACAATAATAATTAAATAAACAGATAAATTAATTAAAAAATATTTAATAATCTATAATTAAATTTATATATATATATATATATATATATATATATATGTTAAAAAAAAATATTCAAGACTTTAAAGACTTATAGTACTCGTTAAGAAAAACAAAAAATATTCAATCAATCAAAGATCTTGCAATCAATCCTTTCACATAATAATATTCAATATTATGAGTGAGTTTTTTTATATATATAATATTAAATGTAAACAAAGGAATTGATTCAAAAGAATTTATACATTAATTCAAGACATTAATTCAAGATTTTCAGCGCAATTAATATTATTAATATTAAAAAAAATTATTTTATAAATATAAATAAAGTAAAAATATTGATCAGTATACACAAAATGCATATTTGTTATTTTCATATTCGAATAATAAGCAAACATGAATTGACCGAAGACCGCAAAATATTCAATATTAAATGAATATTAAATATTTGCAATTCGTTTGCAAATCTAAATCTTATTATTTAAAATCTAATCATAGCTTACTCGCAATATTTGTTCAATACGTTCATTAAAAATAATAAAATTTTGATTATTTGAATAAAGCGTTAAAGTTTTTATTATAATGTGAAAATCAGAAAAAATTATATAAAGAGGGGGAAGAATGCAAAAATAGTGGAATCAAAATTGAGATTAATGAAAATATCTACTTTTTATAAAAGAATTTGAAAAATAAATGATCTAAAATATTATTAAAGACAATGTAATTTCAATTCTTATATTATCGGAGCATGCCTATATAACATAACAAACTATAATATAACAAACTAATGGGAAAAAAATCAAAATATAAATCCAACACACAAATATGAGTATACAATTTAAAAGAATTCGTTCGAAAACGTTAATAGGAATTTCGCAAACAATTAGATAAACATAGAAAAGATAGGTATAAAAAAAACAATTCAATCAGATCATCCGTGAAAACTGCCAAGATTTATAATTCTTACAAATATGATATGAATACAATGCCCAGCATTATAAATGATAATCAAATAAAATAGCATAAAGTACAAAAATATTAACAACTACAAAAAACTCTAACTACAAAAGATTCCAACCATTAATAATATACAAAAACATATAAATATACAAAATTTACTGCTTTAATCAAAAGTACCAAGAAAAAATTTTTTTGTATTAAAAATAACAATTTTTTAAAACAAATAAATATCTATGAATAAAAATGTTTACTTTTTTTGGTATATTTAAATTTTTTTTTTTTTTTTTAAATTTAAATTTTTATGATATTTTACTTTTCTAAATATACTGAAAGGAAAATATATCATAAAGCTATTTCAATTTTCTGTACTTTGTATCATTAAAAAAGATATTAACTTTTTACGAATTAAATATAAAAGAGATTTTGTAATTTTATTATGGTGAAATCCTCTTTCAGATTTAAATTTTTAAATTAAATACAAACTTTATATTATATAAAATTTTATTGAATTTATAAAAAAAAAAACATTTTTTTTTTATTCCTATATCATTAAGTTAATTATTTTGAATTTTTAATTTAAAATATATTTAAGCTTAATAAATTACAATGCATGTTTAAATGATTAATTAGATCAAATATTTAAAAAAAATAATGACAAATTGTAAATATTTCCTCTAGTTTTTAAAACTTGTATAATATATATTTTATACTTGTATAATATATATTTTACAATACTTTGTTATAATATAATAACTTGCCAAAATTTGTTTTAATAATAATAAAAATTAGAAATAATATGAAAATAATACACAAAATACACATAAACAAAAAAATAATAACAATGTTAATTAAATATTAAAAAATAAAAATATTTAATTAGTAGAATAATATATTACATCAAAAATATTTCATCTAATTTCAAACTTATCCATATCGATATATAATGATGTCAATTGTTTCTATTATAAATTGACGTCAATGCATTTATATTAAATATAATATAATATTGCTGAATTTTTCTACTCTCATATTAGTTCTATAAAATTGATAAATTGTGAAATTAATAATTATATACATATGTAACATTTGTACTTAATTAACTTAAAAAAAAGATTAGAATTATCTATATATGTGAATTATCTATATATCTATATATCTATATATATATATATATATATATATGTGTGTGTGTGTGTGTGTGTGTTCACTCATCATCATCATATGTGAAAAGATAACAAATGAGAAACAATCAATATTATTATTGTTTTCTTATTTAAGATTCCTATTTCGCATCGAATATACCCGGTAGCTATATAGCTATTCAATGAGACAGCTATATATAAGCGGTTGAGCACAAAGAAGTTGAAAATATCAAAGAAAACGTGTTACACATTATAGATCATTTATTGATATAATTCGATATAATTTTTTATAGATAAAAAAATATTTATTTTATATATATAATGTACATATATAAAAATGTAAAAATGTTTTATATTTTATCAAAATATATCAATTTACCATTGTATGCACAAATACACAAAAAATATTTAATTTTATAAATATTAGAAAGAATTCATTATGGAAATACCAAGAATCAAAAATAGGATATTCTTGTTATTAAAATAAAATACGTTCCCTTTAAAATATTATAAGTAAGTAATATGTTATACGTAAGTAAATATTTTTACTATAATTTTTTTTATTATATGTGTAAATTGAAGAGATGTTTAAATTAAATTATTTTATTTATAAATTATATTATTTGTAAATTAAATTAATCTTTCATCTAATTAAATTAATTAAATTAAATTAATATTTAAAAAAAATATGTTTAAATATATATATTACATGATATTTTAAGTCAAAATATTATGCATTAAATAAATTCATAATTTATTATTTATTTTATCATAATTATATTGTATTATATTCATTATAGTAGAGAGTTAAATATAAAGGATTGTCTCAAAAATGTGGAAATATTTTATAATTCTCAATTAAAAATCTTTGAGTAATTTTAGGCAATATTTTTTTTTTTACAAATAAATATGTGTTGAACAAAATGTTGATTATAATAATTGAATATATATATTGATAAAAAAATAGATCGAATTGAGGAACAATGATTAAATTCATTATACATTATGTATTTATTCAAAATTCTGGTATAAAAAAAAAAATATAAAATTTTTTTAACTAATGAAGGATAAATGATAAGTAATAAACTATATTGTTGGGTACGATATGCGTGATTATATGTATGCAAAGATACAAATATATATACTCTTCAAATTTTGAATCATATGTATTTACCATAAATCTCATCAAAAGTAAGATAATGTTGATTGCCATTAGAATTGTCATGCTCACTGAAATATATCATCCTTAGAATGATATTACACTCTAGCAAATCTTAAAAAATATTTAATTCCAAATGTCATCTAAGTACTATCCTCAAAAACGGCATTGTTCTCCAATATCATTCTAAATCCTTCGTTTCAAGTTTGATAAACGCTATAAATACTTGACAATAATGGAAAAAAATTTGTGAGGAAATTTTCTTGAAATAAGAAAGTTATTATTAAATTTTGCGAGTACTTATTATTCGCGAGAATATATTCTTGCATAATATAAGATATCGAATCGAAATCATTATTGAAATAAGAAAAATTATATGAAATATTTTAATAATTTTCGATTAGAGATAAAAATCGAAACAATATATTCAAAATTCATTAAAATAAGTAATATAAAATATGTGATAAAAACCATCAGATGTTTTAATCTATAAGATTATCTCTTATTATTTCATTATTCGCAGTAATATGCTTTTCATTTGACAATAAGATTAAGATTTTGAGTGGCAATTAAACAATTAATCATTAACTAAAGGAGTGATTTAAAAATAAATATGTTATTAAAATTCTTTTATCTTAGATCAAACAATATAGAATTTGTCGATTCGTTCAAAAATGAAAGAAACGAATTAATGATTATGTGGCCCAATATTGTTCGTGAATTGACAGAAAATAATGAAGAATTACCGGATGTTAACAAATGGATAACAGAGGTATCTAATTTTTTTCAAAATTTATATACTATCTAATAATTATAATTTCGTGTAAAAAGAATCAAATTTTATTGAAAATTTAAATCTTGTCAAACATAAGTACTAATTTATATATTAATATATATAGTTAGATTATCGTTTCTTTGAACATTATCACAAAAAATGATATATTACATCTATTATAAAATTTGTATTTATATTTGCATTAATAAGCTATGTTAACGTGATGATATTTCATAAACGATTTTTCTTTTTATAACGGTTTTGGTTTTTAATATTTCATTCATTCTAATTTCATTCTTTCTTTAACATTATATCTTGGCATCAAAAATAATCAATATATAAAAAAAAACCGCATTAATTAACATTGTATAGAGTAAAAGAAATCCATTTTTTATTTTTAAAAAAATTAAAAAAGTTATCGTTACTCTTAGATATTAGACAAATTAAAACCGATTTGTATATATAATATGAATAATCGAAAATTTAAAAAAGAATTTTACATTTCTAAAATAAATGCCAATGAATATGTGAAGATACTAATATATTAATATATTATTAATGTTCGTTGTATTAATGTTCGATCGATGTTGATAATCGATTTTTAATAATCTAAAACAATATGGATTTTGTATCTATGAAATATTTCGTGAATTCATGTTTATATTCATTCTTAATGAATACAGCTTTATCTATAAAAATTATGGTTAAAAGCAAAAATCAAGACAGATTTATAAAACAGCCAAAATAATTTCAATAACAATCTCAACAATCTCAATTTAAATTTTTAATAGCAAATTAAATTTTTATAGCAGCAATTTGATGGGAGTTTGATGTAAATGAAGTGCTTTACATTACATATATTATATATTAAATATGAGTTTATTATTATTACCCATATTATATTCTTTTCACATTTATATTCTTTTCTCTTTATTCATAAACGCATTCATAAACGACATTCTTTGTATTTCAATAACGAAAGAATATTTTTTAACTTTTAGATATTGGAATATAATGTTCCAAAAGGAGGAAAACGAAGATCAGTATCACTTGTAATCGCATATAAATTGCTGGCGTCTCAAGACCAATTAACAAAAGAAAATATTTGTTTAGCTCGTATTCTAGCTTGGTGTATAGAAATAGTAAATTTTTATTTCTTATTTCTTTTTTTTAGTTAATATTATTATTAGAATATATTATTTTTCAGTTCACTAATATTTTTATACATTCGCAAGTAATAAAAAAGTAATAAAAAAATTGATCTTATATAAATGATTAATATTTTAAATTTATATTATTTTTTTCTAGCTTTAAAAAGTTTATATATATGATTATTATAGATGCATGCATTTTACATAGTGATGGATGATATTGTAGATCATACAGACATACGAAGAAATCAACCAACCTGGCATGTAAAAGTTGGATTAGGAGCAATTAATGATGCTTTAATTTTGGAAACATGTATATACAAGCTTCTTGAGAAACATTTTAAATCGAAAAATTGTTATGTAGATATCGTGGATCTATTTTTGAAGGTATCAAATTTTTTTATTTATATTATTTACATAGTGTTCAAAGAAATAATTGTATTTATAAATTAATTTTGTATATTAAAACCAAAACTATTACAGTCTCAATTTTTAAAATAATAATAATAATAATAATAATAAAATTTTTTTTATGAAAATTGGAAATTTAAAAAAATAATTCCGAAATAAAAAAAAAGCGTTTATATCACCAAAATAAAACTACATTGTTTCTTTAATAATGAAAAAAATAACATAGTTTTGTGGATATTAACCATTCATAAATAGTTACAATGGATTAATATTGCTCACTTAATTCATTTTATAACTTCTAATTTTTTTCACATTTTGAGATGAATCAAGAATATTCGTTTCATTGATGTGAAGAACAATGAAATGGAGAACATAATGAAATTTTGGATTTAAAATCGATAGTAGCAATATTTCAATAAAATGAAAAAACATCTCATATATTGAAAAAATTTATTCATTTTATATTCTTGTATGAAGATATTACGAAAAAATAAGCATACAGTTTTGAAGTTATAAATTCTCTTTTTATTCCTATTTTGATTTTCGTAAATATTTCTCTTTTTGTTTTTGAGATATAAATAAATGTACATTAGATATATGATACTTTTCATAAATATACTGATTTTCGTATATTTATATATTTTTTTTTTTTTATACTTTTATAGAAGTTATTACTTTCAATAAAATTGTGTGTCTTTTATAAATTATATTGAATTAGTATGCATATTCCTTATTTAATTGAAAAAAACATAAAAATTGTTAATTCTATTGAGAAAATTATTCTTTCTTTTTTCTTTATAACGTAATATTCATAATACAATATAGTTTAAAAATGTACAACAATTTTGAATTTTGTTGTACGCATATATTTTTTTGTATGTAAATTTATATTTTATATTAATATTAATATAATTAGCACTATTTTATCAAATATTAATATAATTTGGAGTATCATAGAAAAACAGGACATGGTGAATGTTTAGATATATTGATATCGTGAGATTGGAGAAAGAAATCGAATTTTGATTTTTTTTCAATGGACTACTACAATACTCTAGTAAAACAAAACATCTTTTTTTTCCTTTTATACTTCCATTCACTCTTGCTATGCGTTTTGTAAGTATATTTAACTATTTGATTCTATTTTTATATTCTTTTTTACTTATTTTACTTTATTTTACATTTATACATTGTTTTATACATTGTTCTTCGGCTGGCATAATCGATTCAGAAATGCATGGGAAAGCAGAAAAAATTCTGATAAAAATAAGTCATTTTTTCCAAATACAAAATGATTTTTTGGATTATTACAGAAAGAATTTTATTAAATAAAAAATCGGAGGAAAAAGTGGAAACATACAAGAAGGAAAATGTACATGGCCCATTGTGGTTGCATTATAGCGAGCTATAACCGAACAAAAGAAAATTTTAAAAGTAAACTTTCGTTAATAATATTTCACATTTATTTTCTTCTATTTTTCTAAATGGAATAAATTACTAATAATATTAATATCATAGGAATGTTATAGAATAGCTGATGAAGAAAAAATATAACGTGTAAAACAAATTTATGAAGAGATTGGTATATCAAATATCTATTTGGATTACGAAGAAGAAACGCATAATTTATTGAATACGTATATACAGCAATTATCTTCGAAACTTCCGACTAAATATTTTTTATACTTACTCACTACATTATGTAGTAAAATAGGATAAAGAGATTAGTTGTACAATATATGAAAAATATGGGAACACATCCGATTACCAGAGATTCCTAAGATAATTTCCTATGCAAAAATTTTTGTTGCAATGAACGAATTATTAACGAAAAATTATTTACCAATCAAATACATGACCTAGACATAGAGATAGTGGCTACTGTATACAAACAAATTCGAAGTAGTAATCAAAGAAACTGTGTTACAAATATTTTTTAATAGATGAAAAATATATATTTGGAATAAAAAGAAATAAATAGTTATTATATAAGGTATTACATTAAATTAATATTTTAGAATTAAATTAATACCTTAAATTAAATTAAATAGAAAAATTTAAAAAAGAATTGATAAGTGGATAAAATCAATCATTCAAGAAATTTCTGAAAATCTTTTCTCCTGGCTATATTTTCTTAATATTAATGGTATTCTAGTATATTTCATTATCATTAAACTTATTCTTGACAGATTTGCATATATTATTAATATATATAAATAACACTAAATTGGTTACAGATAAAATATCACCGAAAAATAATACACACGATGTATTGTCGGATCAATCATATTTATCATTATTCACTTCATTGCATGATCAACAATGTATATCATCAATTTAGTGATACATAGTCGCCTACGCTTCGAGTAGCTTATGCTTGACTACATGATTAATTAGTGTTTTTTATTAATAACTCGGTAATAAAACTACAATGAAAGTTTTTGTAAAAAAAAATATTATTCAAAATTACCTTAAAAATTTTTTATTAATTTCTACATTTTTAACATATCTTGAGTAATAAATTTTTTTATTTTAATAAATAATAAGAAGATAATTTTATTTCTTATTATAATTATTAAGTATAATGTTTAATTATGGACAATGTTAATTGAAAAGTAATTCAATGTTGAAGTTTATTCTATATTTTAAGTTATGATATTTCATATGATGCTCGACGTCTATGTCAACGATTTGTAATAAAAAAGTTTAACAAAAATTATTAACAAATATTTATTATATGTAAAACAAATAAGAAAAATAATAAAAATTTACAAAAGAAATTTATATTCAAAGTGGAACAAAAATTACTTTGTTTTTTGTTTTTAAAATAAAATCATATATTTTTTCTTCAGTATATTGTAGAGAAAATTAAAATGAGAATATTATATGATATTTTTATTTATGAATTAATAAAGTTTGAAAAAATGAAATAATTATACTTAAAATTGATTCAGATTATTAATGACTAATATATATCCTTGGAAATATTGATTATGATATTATCAATTTCTTTTTATTTTTCTTACTGGTTTGCAAGTAATATTTAAAATATTTTATATAAAATGATTTTTTTTAGCGATATGCTGCTTTTTTTAATTTTTATAGTATTAATATGAGATATATAATCAAAAGTTTAAAAAAAAATTTTTAAGAAAAAAATTTTGAATTCAGTATCCTGTGAAAATTTTATTTTACTGCCACGAACTAGTAACGAACTAACAGTTCGAAATTATCAATTTGTAATAAGTTGATTATTAAAACTCGATTCATTGTTGTATTTGAATTCAAAAGAATCTCAAAAATTTATTGAGATACAATTAAGCAAAAATTATTCTTCTATTGTTCAATTAAATAAATTTTATAAAAAAAAATTTTTATATAAAAAAAAATTTTTTATAAAATTTTTTTTAATTTTTCATTGAATATAAAAACTTTTATTGAAACAGTAATTTTAATTCTGAATGTCTATTAATTGTAATTTTATATATAAATGAAAAATTTTTTCTGTTGCATCGCAACAGTGTACCAAATCACTCGAACTTGGAACTCCAACGTATCAGTTGAAACTGAATCGGTGTAATCGAAACTCTCATCTAATAATTTTTCAAATTATCTATTGATTAATTAAAAAGTTTCATTCAATATTATTATAATTATTTTTGTAAAAAGCAATGTACGAAATTCCTGGGATCTTTTTAAATAAATTCTATCTAAATATAATTTTATTAAAAAATATATATATATTTTTTTAACAAAATTTCGTTGTTTTAATAGAAACTGTGAAATATTATTATCTTAATGATATAATGAAAAATATAAGTATTCATACATATGTATATATGTAAAACTTAAGATTTTATAGAAATTCTATATATTATATTCTATTCTAAATGTTATATATTCTTATTTGTTTTGTTTGTTTTTTTATAAAAATTAAATGAAAAATAAAAATGGAATTAAATTTTGAATTTTTTCAATCGAAGACAAAATGACAAATCGTTTTTTAAGAAAATACATGATTGTTAACCTATTTCTATTATTTATTTTTGCGTCAGAAAAAAATTCAATTTCACTTGGTTTTGACAATTTTTATGAAACTGAGAATTCTATGAGAAGTCTTAATCATATGTTTTTAAAATTAATCTTATATAAATTATTTTCTCGTGAAATAATATAAAATAATATAAAATAATATTTTATAATAATTAATATAAGATAAAAGTATTAGAAGGAATTTGAAAATAAAATAAAATATAAAAAACAATGTTTTTAATTTCAATTTAGCATACTTATTGGATTAATAAGTAAGTTCAAAAATAGATTTTTTTCGAAATATAAATTTATTTTTTAAATAATGATATATAAGAAATAAATAAATGATACAAATTTTCTTCATTTTAAGGACGTTTTTTTTTCTTTATTTTGTATAATCTGTAGATATGTTATCAATTATTTGAAGAAAATTTCTTTCAAAGCAATTATTCAATTAAAAAAAATAATTTACTTATTTTTCGAAACAAATTATTTTTAATTTTATAAACGTTTTAATTATGAAATCATCTATGTAATTATATGCATATGTGTATACTATACATTATATATCTATATTATTTTTAATCTAATATGTTTATGCTATATTTATATTGACAAAAAGAGATCTTAAATCAGCACAAAAATGATGATAAATATTTATTATTGATAACTAATTCGATTGGAACAATTATTTTATATTAAAAAATAGTTTAAAAATATAAAATAAAATTTTTTTATATTCTGTTTTCAAAAAAAATTATTTTTAAAAATAATTGTTCATTATTTATATTCTGAACTATGTCTTGACTTGATATTTTGGTGTAACTTTCTATCTCGCTTGTACTTACATTATTACGTAATCGAATTTAAATCGAACATTTCTATTTAAAGTATTTGAAAATTGAATTTTTTTTTTTTTAACTTTTTTTTGTTAGACAATCTTTGAGAATGTTCTTGTTCATTGAACGAACTATAACTAATATAATATCCTTTTCAAATTCGTTTAATGTGATTTAATTTTATATATGAATGTTTTGAATGATTTTCTAAAAACTTATAATTATTTTTAGATTCGTTATACTCGTTATAAAAAATTGAAAGATTAAAAAAAAAAGATAGAAAATTGATAATAATTAATTTTTTTAAAATAAAATTTCATTTCCACGAGTATGATTAGAGTTTTCCTCTAATAAAAAAGAATAAAAATTCAATGAAGAAGTAATTAAATTACATGAAACATTCTAAAAAAAAAAAAGCAAAAAATTGCGAGAATAAATTGATGTAATGGCAAGAAGAAATACATAAACAATACACATATACTTTTTGAATATATTATTAATTTTGTTAAAATTGAATTTTAATTAATTCTATATTTATAAAATTTATAAATAAAATTTTTTTAGATTACAAAATTTTGTATAATCTTTTTTTACTTTATGTAATAATAAACAAGAAAATACAATGAAAGAATCTATTATCAAGTTCAATTTTTTTATAGTTTATAGTTCAATTTTTTATAATTTTAATGAATCAAATATGAGTAATTTCAAAAAACAAAAAGAAAACATGAAACATTGTTGCAGTTTTAAATAAATACCTCAGCTTTAAATAATACACTCAAGATGTAATTTGTATCATAATTTCTGTCAGCAATCAGTATATGAATTCAGATAATTTAATAATCAAATTAAGTGAAGCATTCCAAGAAAATTCATCAAAAATTATTATTATTTATTGAAATAATAAAATACTATTATTAAAGAACAAATTGAAAAATTAGCAATTATTATTATATATAATTATTATTATTATTATATATAAATTATTATATGAAATTAATGCGATAAAAAATTTTGTAAGAAATAAACATTAGTAATATTAGAGTTATTATAAAATTATAAATTAAATCAAATAAAATTCAAGCAAATAAATAAAATAGCATGATTTTAAAGTGTCGACAAAAATTTATTGTATTTATTTTATACTTTTTTTTATGCTTCCTTTTATACTATATATATATCGAAACTTCGTTACATTCGATATATAAATAGATGTCAATTATTTAAAAAGAAATTCTTCAATTTAACAAAGTTGACGAAACATATGAAATAGGATTAGAAGCGTGAAAAATATAATAACTTATTAAAAAAGATGAAGATAATAAATATTATACTCTATAAATACTAAACGAAGTATTACAGTAAAAGAATTACAATCTGCAATGCAATTAAATCTTATAACTTAACAAAAAACATTTATTTATAAATATTTATAATTTTATTTTATAAAAAGTTTCGTTTATTATTTAATATATGTAGTTTGTTCATTAATAATATAAAGATATTTAGAAGTATTATGGATATTAATATTAGATTATGTAAAGAATTGAGCATTTATATAAATATTAAATTATTAAAATTGATAATTGAAAGTTATATATAGAATTTATATAATCAATGACATTTATTTTATTTTATTTTATTTTATTTTATTATTTCTTATCATTTTTAGAAAGACGAAATATTTCTTTATCTTAAAATTTTTATTTTTGTTTTGTATTAAATGAAACAAATATATATATGGAAATTTATTTTTTTTAGTATATTTATACTTCGTTTTTTTCTATGAAAGCAATTTTTTAAAATCTTTTTAATTTTTTTTTCAACAAGTGAAATAGAAACTTATATTTTTATGATATTTTAGCTTTCAAAATATAATGAGAGAAACATATATATATAAAGCTATATTATTTAGAAATTTTTTAAAAGCTATTTTCTACCATTAAAAAAGATATTGAATTTTTATGAATAAAATATAAAAGAAATTCTATAATTTTGTTCTAGTGAAATCTTTTTCTGATTTAAATTTTGAAATTAAATATATTTTTAAAAAAAAAAAAATTTAATTTTTTATTTAAAAGTTTTTAAAAATTTTTGCA